ATTCCCCACGAATGCAGCTGGCTCCTGTTCAGTCCGAAAAATGTCCCACTTGGAACTTTGTTTTGGGAACGAGCGCCTTCAGCGACAGCTGCAGCAGGGGCACGAGTCTCACCCGCTGGTGGATGAGGCGGGTCCCCGGTATGATTCTCAGGCGAGTCCATAGGCTTCAGCTGCAAAGTAAGGCCGTTGAGTTGGCATCTAAAATTCGAGGGAAATAGAGCTCACTGTTAATGGCGATGATAGCTGTTAAGGAAGAAAAAGCGTTTGTTACGTCAACGCTCTGTTTCTATCATTCCGAAGAGATCCATTAATGATCCGAGTCATCCTTCGAAAGATAACCACCAGTGCCATTCGTGAGATGAGATCCGAATATAATTCACTCTAAAAACCTCGGTCACAGGGCTGTCTTTAAGGAGCCAAAGCAAAGCAGAGAAAAGCCAGACGGAAGACTCGGAAGAGCGGCCAGTGAAGAAAGAATCCAGGTAAGTAAGATAGAAACTTATAGTCCGAGACTTGTGTGTCTCGCAAAGCAAGAAAATTTCTAAAAATTTCTAAGGGGGCCGGCCTAGAAAGGTGTTGGTGTTGGTGAAAGGGAGTCCACGAACGGTGACGGTCCGGTCCGAGGCCTCCGGCGAGGCAACAATTTGACGCTGCTGACCTCATATTCAGAGTTATCTATCTCTCCTCTAACCATTACCACCATCATCTGAGATTTCTTCTTGGCGGTCAATATCAAGTTCAAAATGTCTATTCCTTTCGTCAAACCGTATGTCGGGCCATAGAAAACATTGTTCCCGCTCCCCTCCGGCTGGTTGAAAATGGGACAACGTTGGGCTGTTACTCGAGTCCCCTTCCCACAACCTAAATGGCAATAATCGAATTCTATTGATCAACGACTTTACGTCGTCAGCCGTTGAAGAATCTATCACTCTGAACATCTCGCTTGGGATAGTCGATTCTTCGGTTCTCTCCTCATCCCATATATCCGTCGGATTTTCGGTAACTCTGTAGTTCACAACGGCCATCGGGCCTGCAGGCATCCATGGAAGAATGGGCGAACGGCTAGCCGTACTAATGTCTACACTGAACATCTGGCTGTATCCTCCACCTATGCTCCAAAACTCTCTCAAACATCTCCATCTCATAGAATTCCTCGAGATTGTCGTATCGAGAGTCCGACAACTCAAACGGTGTAACATTCTACTTCTATCCTCGTCTACGAGAACTCTCCTCATATTCCGTGTATCGTGGCGCTCTTCGACGACATCCTTCCACTCCTCGTCATTGAAAGCTGGTTGTCTGATGATGGCGAATCCAAAGTCAATGATGACCGGAGAGCCTCGCAAAATGACGTTTCACACAGTTCTCCGCCTCAATGGTATAGAACACGTCCATCACCCGACTGGAGATTGCTTCAGCTTCCTGCGGATAGACCACGACACCGGGCTTGAGATCCTCCATGTTCACGCCATGAACGTTCTCGAAAGCCAGTCCTTTGACAATATCTGTCATGAGGTGGAGAGGTTCAGGGTCGGAGGTTATGGATAGATGGACAACACCACGAAAATCATCATAGCAGCATACATCACTCTCCCCCAGTACTCTCTATCCCAACATATGCCTCGCTGCTTGAAGGAGCATCTGCGCTAGTCGAAGAGGAATCGAGAGCCGCGCCGGTTGATATGTTCCAGGTCATAGGGCATTTGAAGGGGCGTTGGACGAGCACCGACCACCCTCTTTCCTCCAACCTTCTCAACACCAGTTGCCCCAACCCTCTGCCGATAGTAGTCCCGTTCATCTCGAACGGGATACGTCGCGTTGGCGCATAACTGGCATGACATCCTGGGCCTGCGCAGGAGTTTTTCATCAAGATGCAGGATAGGACGACGGCTATGTGTTTTTCTCAAGCGCTCAATAATCGTCTCGTCCAAAGTATTTGCCTCTCCTTTGAGGTGCTGATGACGTACCAAGGTTGGAACGACAGGGCCATCGAACTGGATGCCCGATATTGGCAGAATTGGATCGTGACAGCAGCCCGGCGCGAGGGGAGTAGTGGAATGGGAAGGATCAATTGCTGATAGGGAAGTCGCGACTGAAGGACGGATGGATTCTGCAGGGACGCGCAGATGGGGCCTCTGCTTCATCTGCGGAGAACATGATCACTTGGCGCGTAATTGCCCGGGTGAAATTCGCTGAAAGATTGGATATTGAAAATGATTCCGTCAGTAGGTCAAGAATGCGCATCGGACTCTCATCTACTCATTACAGTTATGAGGTGTATCGGTTGTTACGCCGTGTTCTGGGTTCGACTCCTAGTTGGAGAGGTTACAACACAATAATCGCGTACTTTTCTTGTTCGTCGCTCTGATGGTATCGGGTTCGATTCCCGGCAGAGTCGTGGAAACGGAAGCGCGTTTTTGTTTTAACAGCAGTAGGGTGAGCTGCTACCATACTGTTGATGCCATTCCTCTGCGGAGCGACTAGCAGACAGCATTATCTCCTACCCTACGCTGCAGCACTGAACATGGTTCCGGATAAACCGGCCCATTCTTGTGTTCGACGTCGTTCCACGGAATTGCAGCGCGAGCAGGTCTCGAAAAGCGAAGGAACGCTGTCTGTTTCCCGACTGTTTATTGTCTTGTCGGAAACGCGGTTGATTGAGAACGAGGCTGGCGGTATGAATGAGCACTGGTTTTCGCTACAGTCGCCTAAGATTCACGCACCTTTGTCCGTCCGCGTCATACATGATGGTCCGAGTTTAGAGTTTAAAAAACCGAGTATTATCATCGAGCAGCTGCCAGTATTTGGTCCAACTCCGAGATTCTGACGGGGACTCCTCACTTCGAATTTGAAGTGACGATGAGTACCGCCAGAGGCGAGGTCGGATATGGCGCGCAGAAGGATCTTTTCTTCTCGAGAAATGCCTGGAGAATGGATCCATTATAATCGTAGTGCTGCCGCTTGAGCAGGCCTCGAAAAGCGACGTGGTCCGATGAGAATGAGGTGCGACATTTGGTAACTTTGAAGTCAAGGAATACCCTGGCAGTGGTTGGGTCCCGCCGTGATCTCGGCAGTTCTGCCTTCTATCGCAAGACACCGCACCTCTTCAACCCCGCCCTACTACCCAACTCAGTCGTGTCCTGGCTGTTTATCGTCGTCGCACTGCTAGGGAGCAAAGAAGGAAGAGACACGGAAACGCGGGCCGCGGCCTGGCGGCGGGGATAAACGTTTATTTTCACTGCAGTCGCCTAAAGTTCACGCACCTTATATACCTACAGCCTATACCAAAATTGTCCGGTCGTCAACGTGCGCGCACCGGGTAGTGTATTGGTAAGTGGTTTCGATTCCCCGTCAGGGACCTTGGGTTCGGAAGATAGTCATCTACTTTTTCTTCCGTATTGATCAATCAGGTTCTTCTTTCTTTCGAGCGATTCCCGGCTGCTATTCAAATAGGTACTACATTCTGAATGGCCATCCGTCCGGCGTCAATGCTTGGACACTGGAAGGTGGAAAATGCGACGCTTGTGAGCAATAATATAATTATGGTCCTTCTCTAGTCCACGATAGTGCATTCGTCAGTGTAGGCAGGTGAAAGCAGGGTTCGAATCCCAGTGAGACTTGTCAATAGGAAAGGTATCATTTTTTTCTTACGTGAAATCAATTGGGGTCAGGGTCTAATCCGAGCAACGAAGCTGGTCAACAAAAACCAAGCTGATATAATTCTACCAATATTAGTTGGTAAAGAGAAGGGGGCCTTTGAGCGACATCGTCGTATGCATAAAGAGTGAGCCCGTCAAGGATCAGAGTGACCTCGGACATATTCTGACTGGTATTCATATACATCCGCCTGTGAGCGCGGACTCCGGTATGTCGACGAAGTAGATGGTCCGAGCAGTTACGTGCAGCGTAGCGTAGTTGCGAAGGCATGAGAGAAGTTCTGCATCATGGTATTAGAATAGACGGGATAGCATGTTACAGAAAAGGAACAAACAAGGCGAGTAACTTACGATGGACCCAGACTATGTGAGAGCAGAATCATATGGAACGTGTGGTGCAGAGAATACTTTCACTTTACAAACGGGTGTGACGTCCCGTTCGTCCTAGCCTTCATCTCCTCGTCTTCCGAATTGCCAACCAGGTATATTCGCTAGAAAAGTCGAACCTGAACATTTGGATTGTAAACTAGTACGTGATCTCAATGAGAAGGAATGTTCATTCGCTATGATTGACTCTTACCGAGAGTTAACACCCAAAGGCTGGACATATAGATAGGGTACAGCGCGCCGCAGAAGGTGCACGCACACCGGTGATAGTGGAACACGTCTGGCATTTTATCGTGGTCTGTGCATTGCCGGGACTCTCTGGACACCATCCAGTGAGTTTCCAAGAGCCGGATAGCGAGGACGGCACGGCACTAGACAGGTCTTTCTGCATTTATCTGGTATTGTAGCGATGGTCCTACTCTGCATGCCTACCACGAGCCGTCAAACTTCGCATGGTACCAACACCGGCACATACATTGAAGAGAGTCTTCCTCGTGAGCTTCCCGACGTCTGGCAGCGATACATGGTAACCAGGGGATGATCCACGAATGGGTGCGAGCGACCAGAAGAAATAGCGCATGACAATACCGTGGTTGAAGGGCCTCTCCATCGGAAAACAAGAAGATAGGGGATCGTCCGTTCCCTTGCGAGAAAGCCAGGCAGGGAGAGATCAGGTCTCAGACGATACTAACCTTTTGGAAGAAGAGTGTTGGTCCGTCTCGGCTGGTGCGAGGTAACTGTCGCAGTCGCATCCACCGGTCAACGAGCAGTAGAATGAATGAAGGTGGGAGCCGCTTGAAGGATAGCAGACACCACACAAAGCGATGGTGAAAGTGTACAAAAAGGAGTTGAGACAAAAACGGATAAGTAAAGGGTACTCAGCGCCCAACATCCGGAGGTAAAAGGACTCGGGTCCAGAGTCAGTTGTTTTTATGGGTCAATAATTTGCAATCTGGTCCTCTGGTAGTATATTGGTTAGTACACGCGCCTGTCATTGCCCATGTAGAGCCAATCTCGCGTGAAAGCTGGGTTCGACTCCCAGCCAGAGAGTGAACACTGAAGTTTGAACACTGAACTGATCGTCTAGTGATTTCAGATTGTTTTTGACGAACTTTTTGTCCTATGATTTCATTTCACTGCCCAGACGTTAGACTCGTCAGTCCGCACTCCGATAGGCGTTACTTGTGACTGCAGTGCAGCGTGCGCACTGCCCAATCACTGCCTAGACGAGGGCAGCAACATTTACGGTATGCAAACAAATTTCGGAAAATGCAGTGTGATACTATAGTTACAGAATGATAAGTACACTAGTTGCCAGTTAGCAAAGAGGATAGTGCTTTCCACAAGATGAGTGACAATATCATATAATACTTATGCATATAACCGAGAGCACTCAGCGTCCGAGTCAGACATCAGATACTCCATCTTCCACTCCGACTAATATTATCCAAGTACTTGCTCCGAACTAGCTATTCTTGAACGATGTCCTCAAGTCCTTCGCGATTACATGGAAAACACAAACCACATCATCATCCCGTTATTAACTACATACCCCTTCAAGAATTGACAGCATGGGTCCTGAACTGCACCTCGCGCGGCCTCGGTCCGGTCTGCAGTCGGATTGATAGAGAGGATCATGCCCAGGCGGCAGCAAACCCCAGCATCTTGACCCACAAGAAACAGTGAGGCTCAGTATCGAGGACTGCGGTGGTGAACGTGCTATCCAGCGTCATGGCGAGGAATAATCAACAAAAGCGTCAACGGTAGTCGAAGGAAGACACAGACAATCGCCAATCGCCAATCGCCTATCGAACGCATTCGGTCCGACTCCATCCAGAGACGGTCATCGTGCTCATCGTCCTTATACCGTCACAAGTAGAGCGAGAAGGGGTGGGAGGAAGGATAAGTTCGGTTCATGGTGAGATAGGTGAAAGTCACGGTGACATTCCTGATGGTAGGATGGATCTCGTTCGGGGTGCACGTGTATCCGTTCCGAGGTCGACTTGGGAGCTATTGATCCTGCTCTCCTAAATATTCGCGCATTCTTAACGTGTCTATCTTCATGGGTAATAGCCTCTGATACGCGGAACTCGTCTGCATCGCGTGTGAGTGGCATCCCTCCACAGAGATAGCTCGTCTTGGGCAGAACCGCGAACGAGAGGGATTTTGCCGGGTGGATGGGATTATGTGTGCCATTCAAGTATGGAGCGGAGGAAAAAGGGTTCCTGGTCCAACGCAAACGATTCAACGGGCTTCTGTTACAACAAGGTTCGATGGTGCCACTGGCTCGAACGATTGTCTCATTCCCGTGTAAACGGAATATCGACATACAGTAGGACAATATATCGATAGGATGCGAATCACATCATAGCATCGCTAGTAGGTCTTCCCCGAGTCCAAATTAATGCTGCTCTCAATAAAAGCTCCTTGTTCCGCAAATGGGAGCCTGTCATGCAAATATCGCGACATCAAAGGCGTTGCTTAGCAGCCAGCAATTGCTACGGTCTGCATCACAAAAGCTTGCACTCGTAAATATCAAGCAACATCGTCAATTCCTGGGTGTCGCGCGCTCACTTTCTAGCTCGAGAGATAGGCCGAGTAGAAAGATGCGGATTTTGCTCCAGCGGTACCTGTTGAAATGAGATGCAACGGGCATCTCAAAAACCGATGTGAGACCGCTGGAGGAGCCCGATGAGAATAATGGGCGATATTCGGAGATCCTTGATTGGGATAGAGAGGCACAAAAGTTCCTGTGGACGGAATGAATTGAAGGACTTAAGCTCTGGTTCCGTGAGTTCTTTAATTGTGCGCGACGCGGTGCCTTTTATTTCTAGGGTTAGTATATTTCAGGACAACACGGTGACAGAGCTTACTGTAAGGTAGGCACACTTCTCCTTCCCTTCATATCTGTTCTGATGGACATACGCGGAGCGGTGGCGTTCATCAAGTCCCTCACGAAAGAAGGATTCATCGCTCTTTAAATACTAACATACAGACACAAACGATGGTCCAGAACAGATGAGGGCCAGGGAGATATGAAAGGGAGAGCCAATGGATGACGAGCGAGTAGTGAGCCGCTTACGCATGACCATTTCATGTTCCACTGTCATTACTTGGCGATGATCCCTCTATTTCAGGACATGGGGTATCCGGCATAGGCGCTCGGAGTGCACAAGATAAGATACTAGAACGTCTAGTCACTCGTAGATTATGCCTCCCCTGCCTATTACCCCCGCAGCGATGGTTGCTGTTCATCACCACGAGGCTAATGATGAAGGTTTGCACCAAAGGAGAGGGATCTGAGGAACACTGTCGGAAACGTGAACGGAGCGCGGCGCGGGAAGATGGAGAGAAATCGCCTTTGGTATAGAATGACCCGAGGTTATCATAGCCTGGCTAGCACCAACGCAGTCTGCAGGGTAGACACGCGTCGTTCTCACCCTCGTACTTTGGTGAAGGATCCTCGGCTCACAGATGGGAGATCGTCATGAGCACACGGTCAACTTTTCCACTATGGCGGTCATGTTCGTCCACAACAGGCAATCCATGATGCCAAAGCCTTCATCATGGGCAGGTGCGCACTCCGGCATGAAGCTTGAGGATACATAGGGGGCAGAAGAGAAGAATTCCAACAGGGAGTATCAATACATATGAGGCATATTATGAGGATCGTCACCACGAGTGTAAGCCTGCTTTCTGTGAAGGTGGGAGCGTATGGAATGGCAAAGCGAATGTGGAGGATGGGTAGGGTATACAAAAACGAGTCCGGGAAAAAGCAGACAAACTCAGACGGCGCCCAATGCTTGAAGGTTTCGGGGGTAAAATGACGAAACATTGCGGAGCCTTTTATCTGTGCCCCATGCGGGAGCTATCATTGAGCGACTGCCAGCCTCGTCTGTGGGAACCGGCGAGATTACGAGGGAGACTCCTCAGTTCGAAGTGCCGATAAATATCACTGAGGGCTCGTTGGGAGGGGGTGACTTAGGCACTGTGTAGTCCTTGCATTGCCACGCAAGAGATGGTGCCGAACACTTGCTCTCCACATGCGAGATATAAGGAACGATGTCTCAAGGACGCGGGAGGAAAGCGACCCATCCTTCTATTTGACATGGTTCCAACTAACCAGTCCGGCATGTGCAGGTCTCAAAACCGATATCAGACAGCTGCGACGGTCCGATCAGAACAAGGCGCGACATTACAGTGAATGAACATTGCGGTTGGTGGCTAATCTTTGACCTTAGTTGAGAGCGACGCGGCATCTTTCGATCCTAAGGTTAGTACATTTCAGGACGACACGGTGATAGAGCCCCACTGTAATGTCCTCAGCACACGGCTCGTTCCCATCATTTCCAACTCGTAATCTGCCCCGAGATTCTGATGAACGTACACGGAGCGGGAGCATCTATAGATGTTCATTAAGTCTCTGATATTAATAAAAGATGGCATAATAAGGAAACTCACCTCCGGATTGGGCGCCCTCTTTCAGCAGCTAGCCGGAAGGCACAGACAATGATCTAAATGCAATCTTCCAGTCGTATATCATGTTCTGAGGTACGAGGTATCGGGCGAGAAATGAAAAGACGCTGATGGTGAGGGTAACTCGAGGGTTCCACGGGCGTTACGGCGATCCCTCCGTTGCACGTCCGTTCTATCTTGTATTATAGAGAGCAGATTTCTACCAATTCTCCCACTCTAGTACCCTGTGTTTGATACCGATGCAATCAGATAACAACCCCCGCGATCAATCTCGCCGCATTTCAACGACGGAATCAACAAGTTGCGACAGCGCTGGCCTTAATTCCAGGTTCGAAGTCCGTATTTGGGCAATCATTGTGAGCAACGAGAGCGCCATCCGAAAAGTTGCCTTTGGGAATGATACATTCACCTGCAATATACGTTGAGGATACCCGACGAATACAACTCCTAAGAACTCACCCCATTGGTTTTGCTTGTGTACTGTTCGAAAAGCGGTCTGTCCTTGAGAAAGGCGTCGGATGGCTTCGTAGTGATCATCTCTGGCGTCGCCATCGATGCTGATCAGGCGGATGAGAACATCTTGATTGTGAATAGTGCGTGCTGGACAATGGATGCTGTTCTACTAAGTAATGAGCGAACCGAACTGAGAAGACAGAAATCTTTGAACATACGACTTGGCTAAACTCCGGTTTGTGAATGAGGATGCCGGGCTGGCATTGGTAACGAGAAACGAAGGTATAACCGTCGGGCCGGCGAGGTTCATCATTCGGAGGATGAAGCTGTACGTTGTATATGTCTCCCAAGCCTTGTTCGTACTCGGATATCCACAAAGTGTAGCCGTGATCTTGAAAGAACTTTTGGAGTGGTTCGCGCTTCCAGAGGTCGTAGGGCCGACTACATCGGGTTTCCAGCCTCTGTCGCGCCATTCTTTCACTGTCTTGGGCCATTCGAAATGTGTCATGGCGGTAAGGACCAGAACGGGTGGCACCGTTAACGCGCCACCCTCAACTCCGTGTGATGCAAATCAACGAAGTACCCCCGGCACAGTATGCAAGCAGAACGAAGCTGAGAATAGTGTTCCATGGAAATCATCTTCCTGTCTGTACCAAATTACGCACGAATTTGCATTGACTGGTTAGAACGCGCCGGTACGATACGACGATATTGCTCCCAAGGTAGGCCACGCCAGCACGTACCCACCGCTAGTCCCAATCGCGTGGCTCCCTCCCCTCATACTCGCTCATGATCAGCTCATTGGCTCTGATGAGCATAAGGAAGCGTTTACTTGGCGGATCCGGCAGACGAAACCGTGTGCGGGCGACGACGGCAAACCACTTTAAGCCTCTTGGTCGTCACCCTCGAATGATGGAGCGAAGCCCCGCTAATGAATCATAGCTAGTGCCGACGAATGTCTGAAGGGGATGTCTTTCCGCAACCCTCGTAGGTGAAGAATCCTCGATCCACAGGTCGCGCCATAAACATAGTCGACTCTGGTCTTTGGTATCCTTAGAAAGCGTTCGCATTCGATTCACGACGCCGAGACGGATGCGAAAAACAGCCCACGTGGATGTGGA